GGTTAGGGTTGGGCAATTAACAGCATTGCTTCTCCGATATCAGTGCCACTCAGATTCTTCAAAATACCACTGTGCAACGGCAAATTTTCTTGCATTGTTGCTTGGTAGTGACCAAAAACATATTCCATAAAAGCAAACATCAGCTACATACTAATCCTTCACTTTGTTGAGTAACATATGTGAAGCTTACTGTAAATCGCGCCCACTGGTCAGTCATGTCTGGGACACTAAAGGCAGCAGCTTTGTGGCTGTGGGACGCCTGCTCTTTGTCAGTGTAGTACAATAAGATGCTCTGGAGGCCTCCACGAACTGGAGTGAGAGCCAAACCCAGCTCCACCACCTTCTGACGGGCATCTGTGATGGCGAAGAGCACGCCGCCTTTCTGGTTAGCTGGACGCACCTGGATAAATGAAATGGTAAAAGACATCAATGTCACTAAAGCTTCTGCATATTCGTCCCTTGATTGTGAGTATTAGTCACAGCATAAGACTCATAAAGCATAAGACAGTAGCAAGTCTCACAGAAGTCTGAGTACAAATGGAAACGACACATTCCTTCACATGTCTACTTTAACCAGGAAGGATTGAAGTTTCTACAAGTGTCAGGTCACATATAATTAGAAAAACAGGAACCTGCATATGCCGTTTTGAGTTATCAGCACAATCCCACAAGGTGACCACACAGTGAGGCATCAACTGACCATTAGCTGCTTTACATTCAAGTTCATATAACTCATATATTTTTGACTTTGACATAATCTCCACTAAGCTTTCAAAAACCCTAATGACAGCACGAAGGAGGTTTAAAAGGTTACAGGGTTCAACGTGTAGCATTTACCGTGGCAATGATAGCAAAGTCTCGGTAGAACGACCCCGGCACAAAGGTTTTGGTGAGTCGGCCGATGTTGGCGTCGGGCCCGAAGTTGAAGGCTGGGAAACCCTCGTAGCCAGGAGTGAAGGAGACCGAGGGAGGGAGGGGGACGCCAATTAACTCCGTCAGGTCAAGATGACTTCCTGAGCCTCGCTCTGAAAAGCACAAACAGGGATAATGTAAAAAAAGAAGAAAAGTTGAGCATGAAGAGGGAAGACCAGATGGAGACAGATGGAAATATGTTCTCCTTTCTATACATGTTAAAGTGAATAATGCATTGAAGTTCTGTTCTGGGATGTATTTATTTTAATATTTATGGAAAAAGATCTTCACGTTTCAATAAATTCACTGAGCAGAAGACACTATAATCTTTTCATTTTTCACAATATTAAACAACTGTTTCCCTCAATGGTGGGATAGCTTAAATATTTAGCTGCTGTAATTGTGCAGCTAAATTAGCTCCAGATTACAGATATTATTAACAGAAGCCTTTCTACCAGATGTCCGAACCCCCCTATCCTCCCCCATCCGTCTGCTACCTGTGTGTTGCTGCTTCATTCACCACATTAGAGTAAGTAGGAGATGTGCTTACAAATCACCCTGACATGGCTTTAATTTAACTTGATTTGATGTAGACTCTGCCCACGCCTCACTGCCCTACCTCGCATGGACATAATCCTCCGAAACAGAAAAGCACACACAATGGCTGGCAATTAGAGTATTTAGTGTCATGTGAAGAGACGGCTTCACATTCCCTTGATTCCTCCCCCCACCATGGAGCCTGTCTCCTGTAGCGACAAACTCTCACCTCAGCATTCCAGCCACGCTCACCTCTGCTACCTATATCGCCGTCATGCACACGCACAAAAAGATTTGCATACATTTAGGCAAACATCAAACAGACATGTCACCCACGTGAACACATGCAAACCCCAGACCGGACCAGACAGGCCAACATTTGGGGGTCTCTAATTCATCAGTCCGACCAACTGGAAACATACCTGATTAGAGGGTTTAGTGTGTGTGTGTGAGTCTGTGTGTGTTAGTGAACCGCTCACATCACTACAAGTGGACCTCTGCACATTTATTGTTGCAAACACAGGTGGGAAGGTGGGCAAACAAAACACACACACACAAACACACCAAAGCCCTCACAACCTCCAGTCCAGATGTGCACTCATTAGCACTCTGTAATGACTGCAAGAAACAGACAAACTCTCCCCTGAGAGAATTAAAGTAATAACCAGCATGTTAACCTGTGGCCGCTGCAGAGCTTTAACTTCATTCCTTCACTGTGAGACACGCATTTAAAAATAATGGTCAGTGTTACTGTTGGAATCTGGTCAGAGACTGACTTGGCAGCAGAGACCTGGTGGTGATTTAACCAGTCATAACTTGGATGGCAGCCACTTTAAGATACAGAGGGCCCATGTTCACACTGCTGTGAAGGGTTCTCAAGATCCAGGCGAGCCAAAAAAAAGAAGGATAAAAAAGGGGGTCAGTCGTACAGGTTTGTGAGAAAAGGGCAGCGAAGAGTCTCTCACAGTTTGGGGGAGTCAGTCCGCTGCTGAAAATAGACTCGGTTACAACATGCAAGTCTTCGTTAACTCATTATCTAACCATCTTGAGGGGGGTAAATGTATTTAGTCAAAAAACTATGGCTGCGTGTAATGTCAGTGGGATCACTCATGATGATGAATTCACACACAAATATTGTGTAACTGAAGTTATCAGCTACCAGTTGCCAAAACTTCAAAAACACAGAAAAAAAGAAGTTGGTTTTAGTTTATTTTCTCAACCCTTTCACACCACAACCTGTAATCAATGCTGTTTCCAGTCACACTTCCCTACAAGGCAGTAGAAAAGCTGAAACTGAGAAAAAATAAACAGATAAATGGATGTAATGCCTGACTTTTGCCTTTTTTTAGAGCAGTAATTTATAATAAGACCATAGAGAAAATGTGTTCATTCTTCCATCAATCATTTGTTAATAGTTCACTTAAAAATCAATATAATAAATCAATTTGCAATTTGCTACAAATCAATGTGTGATTTAGCTTAACCTCACCTGACTGTGCATTCCTCAAGGACCTAAAGCTAAAATTGCTCCTAGCTACAGTCAAAGCTAAGCTAGTTACCTTTCTTCCGGGTAAAGTTAATTTAGTTGTTTTTATTTTCCATGACTAGGTTTAGTTACTCCCTAAATTGCATAACAAACTAAATTTATCACCAAGAATTTAAAATGAGACATTTCAATTACAGGAAACAGCTAAAGGGTTTAGCTAAGGCTAGCAGTTGCTAGCTAGCATAGCATTGACAGCTAACTGTATATAGCTTCTTGGTTAAGTGTTCTCTTTTTTACAATTCAATAGCAATTTCAGTTTTGACTGTTTTTTTTTCTTTCCTTGGCATTGGAAGACTGAGTGTAAACACAGCACCAAACAGCAAAGATAAAGGTGTGACTAGCTCATGAAACCGGAATTTTTTTTTCTACTGCTTAGCATGTAGCCACTAAACAACCAGACAGTCACCAGCTGGTGGACCCTGAAACAGAGTGGAAATGATAAGTGAAATTTATCAGCCTTCCAAAAACACAACCACAATTACATGCTAATGTTTGATGGGGATGTAAATAGTCAAATGTTTCCTAAAAGTCATGTAAAGTGCCAATGATAATACTGCATTTTCAGCTTGTACCAATACTCAGAAATGGACAAGAAATTAAGAGAAGAGATTTTTTTTTTAATGTAAAAAAATTAAAGAATATCAGCAAATTTTAAGGATGTAAAAATGCAAAAGTGAAAGTTCCGCATTAAAAAAAAAAACTACATGGCTGAAAGTACAAGTGTTCTGTGAAATTTAGTTGAAGTGGAAACACAAGGGTAGTACACTAAGCGTTTATAAAATCTTTAGTCAAATATCTGGCAAATCTTTTTCGGTAATGTAACTTATAATACTTTTACTGTATGGTAAATATGCTGAACTGCTTTTTTTCTTTTTTTAACCACAGATTCACTCGCATACACAAACACATGTGTCAGAACACCTTATAAGTGAGTGTGGACAAATCCTACACTAATGACATCATGTGAGGTGAATTAAACAGTATGTAGGGCAAAATAATTCATATTGACATCAGATGAAAAAAGAAAGTTATAAAGATTCCTGACCTCCATTTATTAATTATTCCACTGATTTAATATTCCTTATTCCAATCAGTGAGTCATCATTCATTCACTCTCTAAGCCAATGACAAAGAGTTACCCAGGTCCCAGTTGTACTTCAGGTCAACCAAACAAAACTGTATTAATTCTTAAAGTTAGTTTTATTCATTGTTTTCAGCCCCACCAGCAAACTAATAACTCGGTCATTCTGCGTCGCATTTTTCCCTCCTCCTAAACCTAATCCCCGTCATGGTGGCCACATGGATGCTTGATCAGCTTGTGGAGACTTATAAAACCAATATTACCGACTCCCTCAGCGTTGCCACGTATAACCTTTTAAACCCATCTCGACCCTCGCATGCCACACAAAAGCTTCCCGCTGCCCGGCTCACACTCCCTCTAGCTTTCTCAGAGTGCGCTGACTTAGCGTACATCAGGGTAGGGCTGCGTCACATACCAGCACGCAACAATAACAATAAGGGAATCTGTGCTGCCTCTTGAGATGCGCTTGGACACGAGAATGGAAAATTCAAGATGCAACAAGTGATTTAAAGACTCTGCTGCACCATCACCATGGCCTACTGAACGAAACTTAAGCTCGTAAATGTAGTGGATGTATAAAACAAAGCATGAGCAGGTGCAATCCCTTCACATTAATGCAGGATTACTTGCATGACGAGTTAAAGCGTCTGCAGTCATTTAACAGCAGACAGAGATCAAGTGTATGAATTAAAGCTGCAGTAGTCGCTGTTTTTTATATGACAAATGGGGAAGGGGCCCCTCATAGACAAGCCCCTAAAGGACTCAACTTAGTTTCTCTCAGTTTTATGGAGGATTTGACCACTTTTGCTCTTTGTTTTGATGTCACCAGGCAGGTCCTTTTGCAACTTTTCTGCCAACAGAACAGCTTTAAAAATGCCCCGCAGCCTACACCACCTACCCAACGCTAACCCACAGCTAACAACTTGCACATAAACTACATCAAGTGAATAAAATAAATGAATAAATGCAGCTTTAAGGGCATTATAAACAGATTATATAACCTTATTGTTGCAAAATAGCCCAAATCCTGTCAGTTCCCAACCTGGGAGTTGATTTCTGATGCACGAATGATGTATGGTACATTTTTCTGACCTTTGCTTTCTTTATAGGGAAATACAACAAAGTGTGCACCAGATAGCATTGTTATTTTTGTAATTTGGTTGTAACTGCATCTTAAAAGGGTCACAAGCCAAAAATTTTTGATCTTCTGGTCCAAACACGATGGAAATAGAACCAATGTCAAATATTAAATATGTAAAGCAACTGCAATCAACTCTAAGCTACAATTTTTCCCAAAGAGAGACGCTGGGAAGGAATGCCTCCTTATTTCAACACTCACCACTCTTCCAGTGTTTTAGTGGTTTGTACTGGGACTTGCTTTTGCTGCCTCCACCTGGGTTCTCCTCTGGAGGTATCGTCCCAGGTTCTACGGTGCTATAACCGGAGACTGACACTCCCGGTGTAGTAGGAGCCGGCACAGACCCCTCTGACTGAGTCCCCTCCACAGCTTTCTCCGTCACCCTGCCCTCCTCTCCCATCCACTCTGTCACTGTCCCCGGGGAGTCGGAAGGGCCTGAGGACGTGATGGAGGTGACAGAGGTAGGAGTGGAGGGAGGAGAAGGGCTGGTTTTAGGTTCGGCCCAGAATAAACTCCACCACTGGGCTCGTACGGGAGAGGAGAGGATGAAGAAGAGTGCAAGAGAGAGTCGAAGGGCTCCCATCCTCTGTCTGTGCACGCTGGTTTAACTGCAGAACACGACTCAGGTGCAAACATATAGGCAAGGCAGGTGCAAGGTTTCCAGCGAGGAGAGGTTACTTGCACATGCAGAGTCCGGCGGGGTGACAAAGTAGTCCAGGAGATCCACAAGTGGCACAGAAAATATTGCGGGGCCTCTCACTGCATCTCTCTTGTTTCCTCCCTTTTTTTCTCTTCTTGTCCTCTTTGTTGT